GGGGGGGGGGGGGAAGAGAACGGAAAGGCGGGGTGCATAAACCATACCGCAAGTTAGCGAGAGAAAGCATAACAGATACACGTGTCTTGGCGGCTCCGCTTTGCGACACATGATTCATGGAGGTCTTGATACGTTTTTTACACCTGCGACGGCTTTATTAGAATTTCTAATGGAAGGGTCCACGGTGAAGAGTGACACGAGACATCAAGACAATGCGCTTCGAATCAACTGAAATAGGCTGATCAAAATCTTACTTTTTGCCGTTATCGACCATCAACTGCATTTAATCAAAATGTATTGATGTTTTCATGTAATCAAATATAAATTTTAATATTAGATTAATCTAGACAAAATATATTTATAAAATATTATGTAACTTTTGCATATGTTGCTTCCTTTTGACTTTCTACATATAATTCTGATAATCAAACTTTTTTCTAATCTCTATTATTTTTCTAATCGAAAAAAATGATAAAATAAGTTTATTATAACAAGAATAGATTCTTTTTACTTCTATATAGAAATATATCAATCTAACTTTGCATTTGTAAATAATAGGAGAAAATGACAAATGGCTAAAAATGTATAAAAGGATAAAAAAATAAAACAGAATTGTTGTCATAATTTAAAAAAATGAGGAAATAAACTTATAATAAAGGTTAAAAAAAGGGTATAGAAAATATGTTCTATGTACTAATCCCCCTTTTTTAAACATGAAAAAATATGAAGTGTGTTTACTGATTGCCAACTGACAAAATAATGTTTTGGTTAGCCGTTTGACAGTCTGCGAAGTACATTTTTCTTTAAGTTGTGTGAAAGAAGAATATAAGGTTGCAGATATGATTTGCATAAAATAATTACTCAGATGCACAGATACTCATTAACTATGAGAAATATTGTAAATGTACATACTGTTCGTGAGGAACTGTTTTCAAGGCACAGTTCAGGGACTTCGACTGCAGTAAAGCTGCTCTATAATCCAGATTATTTATTGAGTTCCAGTCACTGCGAAATGGCTCATATCGGTTATTCAAACTGGCGCACACAAGAATTTGCAAATACGTCTGCTCGTCACGGCTCCAGAGGAGAAAAGAACGAGATAATTCGCTAGCGCAGCTTTAACGTGGCGTTACAAAAACTATTAGATGTATGATGTTTACTTTGCCGTGTACATTTTGTATGCTTTAAACACTTTCTATTCGCGGAATCCTACTTCGTTTGTCCTAACGAACAACAATTCGCCAGTTCATAACAAAACCTAGAGTCAACTTAACTTCAACACACACATTTTCTCGCTGATACATATTTTTAATATTGATGTTATGCATATAAGGGTATTAATTATACATTGTAAAAACTGATGTTGAATTTAACACATTTCATGTATCCCAAATCATCCACTCTCATTTATATGTAAATTTAACACGAAACAAATGCGTTAAAAAATAATGCGCATAATATGGAAAAAATTAACACAAGAATTTAACACTTGAATACCGTTAGGAATCACAGATTGTGTTAAATTGACGTATTTAATATGTCAGACATAGATTATGTCAATTTAACATTTTCATTTCATCTCAAAACTGTAGATTAATACTTCTCTCAAATGTTAAAGTAACGTTTTATTTTAATTAATTTAACATATACATTATACATATCAATTTAACACAAACTGTGATTCCTGACAGTATTCAAGTGTTAAATTCTTGTGTTAATTTCTTACATATTATGCGTGTTATTTTTTATCACATTTGTTTTGTGTTAAATTTACACATAAATGACGTGGAACACATGAAATGTTAAATTTAACACATCAGTGTTGTTACAGTGTACGAATAATATAGATATCACAAGTAACATGTACATTACAAATATCCGGGTAATACAGTAGGAGTACCCGCCGGGTACCTGGGTATTAGCCGCGTATTTCGGGTAGTGAGCGAGTATCTAGGTACCCGGGTATCCAGGTATCATTAGCTTTATTAGAATGATGTAGATATAGGACAAACGGCAAACTCTGAAGTGGTGAATGCCGTGAAAATAGTGGGGATACCCGCGGTAGTGTGTACATACACAGATGCAACGACTCAAAGTGGAAGAGATAGCCAGTTTCGTCTGAGCGGTGGGGCTGACGATTAGATGGTGGGGAGGAGAAGAGGAAAGGGTAGGACGGCCGAGGGCGGGCGCGCGCCACAATTCAACGGGAACGGCCGCACTCACCACATCTGGCGAGCAACTGCCACACTATCGGCTCTATTCAAAACGCTTCTACCTTTTCTCAAATTACCAGTACCGCAAATTGAATGTCATGAGAACGATCCGGTCCCGTGAACGAAAAATGTAATAAAAACGAGATGCTCGACGTAGACGTTCAGTGGCGCATGGATAATTAGTAGTTCCGTTGTGCGATCGTGTTGTCAGATAAAAATGTTACATTTGTATGAAAGATTGCGCTTTGTCTGAAGAGTAACGATAATAGCGGTCAATTAGGCGATATTATAATGAGACAATTTGAGAGATTAGAAAGATGGAAAGTAAAAATTCCGCAAAATTAGCTGCGTGTGAGGGAAAAATGTAACGGATACATAGTTAAGGTGCCAAACAAATTTGGCTTAACGTAAGGAAACTCGTTTAAAGTCTTATCTGCGACGAGCAAAGAGAGCTCCGCCTCCTCAGTCGTCCCCTCCGCCGCGTCGCTATCCCGAAGTGCCCCCCGTTTGACCAACTGGCTACTACGTCACACATGCTTCTGCTTGGAGCCGCCAACTCCGAAGCCTCTCCTCTCGGCCGGCTCAGTCGGTTCAGTAAGTTACGAGTTGCGTTCGGGTTCGCCGTACGAGCGATAACGGGGGCGTCAATCAAATCGCGATTGGGAGAGGATTCCACCTCGTGCACACTCTCCTTTCCTCGTCTTTCTCGGCTACAGGCAACAGGTTTGAATTTATGGGACAATAAAGAGTGCGGTGCGTAGTGTGCGTGTCTCTCTCTCTCTCTCTCTCTCTCTCTCTCTCTCTCTGTTTCTCTCTTTTTTCTCTCTTTACGCCTTTCTTTCCTGCTCTAGGCCGCTCTTTCTCTCGTCTAGACATCCTGTCCTTTCGTCGCGAGGAGAGGAACGAACGGCGAAGACTATCAAACTCTCATAAAACTGTCAGCCGCGACCGCCGGGCTGACTTATGTGCGCCCCTTCTTTAGCCGCGACTGGAGAACCACACGTTTGCAGGCTAGACCTGTACTTCTCGCGCGACGATCACGATCCCATTACGAATCTTTTAACGAGAGATCAGACGACACGATCTTCACGGTCTCGGGGGAGAGCCGGTCAGAAGTGAGCACGACGTCGCGCGCTCGTATCTCCGATCCCGCAGTTGCGATATTCCGCGAGCAAAGTAAGTCGCACTCCCAAAACATATCTTTCCTTTACCTTGACGGGTCAAGAAACGGCGCGTAAGCCCGTACTGAGATGAATTCACGACGGGGAAATCGACGGACGATGTTAACGAGCGAGTCGTTTTCAGTCAATCAGTAAAGGAACAATCACGTTTCCTCGTGTGCCGTACCACACCTTTTCTTTTTCATCTGTCTCTCCACCACGAGGCTATACAGTAGGGGGCGCGTGCGCGCGTAGCCCCCCTCGCAAAGCGGACGGAAGACTGCTTCTTGGTGACATCGCGGCTAGAAGGCTGCAGAGGAGAACGAGAGAGCGATCGAGATACTTCTCCCCCTCTCCACCAACGGTCTCAGGGCTCCCGAATATCTCTCCATTAGCCCCCCTGATGGTGCTATCCCCTCTCCTTGACCCCTCTCTCGCCCTCTTTCTCTCTCTTGTGTGCACCCCTCTCATCGGTTCCTGTCACGTCGGGTAGCAGCCAGGCAACACCACCACACGACGGGCGCCAGCGGCAGCGGAGACTCGACGGAGACGCAAGAAACGGGGTTGAAGAATCCTACGCCGGCGGAGAGACCAATCAAGGTTTGACGAACGGCGGGGATTGGTCGAGGCGCTCCTCTGACACGCAGAGAGCGCGGGCACGTGACAAGCTACCGCACACACCGGCCCTCCGTTGGATCGTGGCGAGGCCTTCAGTACGATACCAACCACCCTTCGCGCACGCAACAGGAACGGCGAACCGCGCGCGCGATACTCCTCACCCTCTGTCGCGGTGATACGAGTATGAGCCTCGCTCGTACTCGCCGTGCCTGCTCCGCCGCTGCAGTCGCGATACGAGTCTATTAAGTGCAACACCTGTGACAAACAACAACAATAACAACGACGACGACGACGACGACGACGACGACGACGACGTTGAGGCGCAATTAATCATCGCGTGAATAATTTTAATGCGCTCATAACGTGTTACCATCGCATGTTATGTTTTTTATTGAGGCGAGACTTTATGAGGTCATCTTCAATGGAGCGCCTCGATAAGCCGGTCGTTACGCGCTACTGCACAGTGGGTCCACGCATTCTCTGTAGGTAATCGCGACTCGTGAGGTCGTAAAGAAGCGGAAGACAGTTTTATAGCCCAGGCCCACGTGGCCCTCGTAAACTTGACTCGCAGGTCGGCTCGTACTCAGGCACGACCCGCCTGCCGCCAGCCGTCTGCCTCTCTCTCTATTAGTCCTGGAACCCCTCGTTCATTATCGAATCGTTTAGAGACGTGTTTCATCCGCGTGTAACAGGTCGTGATACTTGTGAAACGTTTGACGGCCAAGGTGAAGCTCAGCCGCGGAAGTGTCGCGCGACTCTCAACATCGCGAGAAGTCACGAAGACACGATGACGCAATTCTATACTTAATGACGGCCCTCGTTGTTCAATTGTCTCGGCAAGTCGAGACCGCAACGCAGTTGGTGTTCTCGTGAATGACAGCACGTAGACGTGTAAAGAGATCGGTACAGTGAGAGATTGACGACGGGTGAGAGGTACGCGAAGAATGAGTTCCTATCAGTTCGTCAACTCGCTCGCATCATGCTATGCGGGTCAACAGCCACAACAACAGCCGAGACCGACTCCGAATTCGCCTGGCGAACCAATGCAGGCAGCATCGCCGGCCGGTGGAGACTACTACAATCCGAATGCGGCGTCCACCAGCTATCCTGCGCCCTGTTACTCACCTCAGCAGCATTATCCGCAGCATCCTTACGCCACTCCAGCCTCCGGCATGCAGCACACGGCACCAACAGGGATGATAGACTATACCCAATTGCAACCGCAACCCCGGCTGAACGCGACAGCGACGTCACAGCAGCACAGTATTCACGCTCAGCAATCGCAGCACCATCAGCAATCGCATCATTCTCAGCAGCAACTTCACGCGGATCCAACGACGCCCCTTCTGCAAGGCGGCTCGGCATCGTCAGCGCCGTCAACGTCCAGCTGCAAGTATGCTGATTCGACGTCGTCCACCAGCGTGGCGTCTCCTCAAGATCTAACCACATCCACCTCGAGAAACAGTCCGACGCCCCTGGTGACACCCGGAACGAGTAAAGCCGGATCAGGATTGACTTCGCCGCCTGGTAGCTCGTCAAGGTCGTCTGTGGCCGCTTCCGCTGCCTCGCCCCCCAGTGGTAGTTCGAGAGGTGTCGGCGAGGGAAATTCGACGTTGACGACAGCGTCTTCCGCTTCGTCGCCCGCTTCCTCCACGTCCAGTACCTCCAGCACGGGTAACAACTCGTCCAACAAGGGAAATCCCTCTGGTAGTAACCCGCCTCAAATATACCCGTGGATGAAGAGAGTTCACATTGGTCAGAGTAAGTCGTCCATCTCTGTTATATATCTTTTAAATCTTATTATTATTAAAAATAGCGAGCTTAATGTCTCTAACAAAATACGTTTTTCATTTCCTCTTTTGACTCATCAAAGATTAAGAAACTCGCATTTAATCGCCAATAGGAGGATACATACGTAGGGCCGCGAAAGTTAACAGAATGCAAATTATTTAGCTGCACAAACTATATATCTAATTATTTCATTATGTATAACTTGATATGTATATAATATTAAATCTTTTATTATTAAAAGGAAAACATCTTTTTAAACTGTACGTTACTTCAAAGCAGACTTGCTGTAAGATTTGTATGTTTGGAAGCGTTAATATATTAATCACATAAAATTACCCTTGAAACATTCAGCATGTCATTCCTACATTCAACGTAGTAAGGATATTCAATCATAGCTGGAATATACGATTCTATATTGCAAATTTAACTAATTTTAATAATGGTAATCTCTCTCTCTTTCTCTCTCTCTTTCTCTCTCTCTCTCTCCTCTCATATATCATATCAAGCGTGTTAACGGTGCATGTATAAATGGGAATTTATAAGTTCTGACGTGCGAAACATGTCATGTCTTTTTCGAAAAGCAAATATTTATTCGTATGTAGATATACATTCTCACAAGATATCACAATTTTAAATGCAGCAACGTTAATCTGCGTCACGCATCTTTGCGTAGTGTAACCTTTACGCAAAAAGCTTAGGAAAAATTAGGAGAGATACATTGGGTTATAAATAAGTTGCGCCGTCGTAGCATGTATACAATGTCTAAAACCAGACATTGTATAAGAGTAGCTGGAAACAATCAATAAACCGTGCTACCTGACGGTGAGAAATAGAAAAGGGAGATAGAGAGGCAGGGGAGGGGGGAGAGGATGCCAAACGCGTAAAACTCGAAATTTTAATACGAATTTACTCGTATCAGTAACTGCGCTGGAAAAAAAACAATTGTTCAACTGCTGATATCGTTGTAATATCAATAAAACAGTGAAACAAAATACAAGTCAGCAAGTGCGCAATATCATCACTCTTCTTTCGCGAAGGAAACGGAACAAAAAACAGAACGAAGAACAAGGAAACAAAGACCGCACGGTTAATAGCACTTCGGCCGAGCAAATAGCGATTGCATAAAAGAGGCGATATCTCGGGTAAACGCTCAATAAGCAAGACCAGCCAGCACAAAGCGTCACGATTCGTGTCGCTATCGGAGATCGGCCGCGTCTACGCGGAAACGAGGGCTCGCGATTCGAGAACCGTCAAAAAGTAGTGTGGGGGTGCGGCCAGAATAGGTAACAGTAATTCAGCGGAGGCCAAGACTTGGATCCACCTGCCCCCGCGGTTCAAAGAAGATAAGACAGCGAGCGCTGGTCATGCTCACATTAGTCGCCCCGTGTGATTTACTGCGCGGCCAGTATGATTCAGTCAGCGGGGAATTTGACGAAGAATTAATGGTATTATGATATCGTGTGTAACTCTATGTATGTGCGCCCGGGCCATAAATCAGGCTGCATTGTAAGGCGCGGGGGGTTGCCCTCTCTTTCGCTCTCCAGTTCTCTCGGCTTAGCTCGAACGAAGGTCTCAGACCGTCCGGCTCGGCCCCCAAACGGGATACGCACAGCTAAAGTCTTTCTTGTACATGTTTCGGCTTCCTCTCTCGATGCCTCGCATCATGCCTGCCTGGCTAATGTAGCATCCTTTCACCTCAGCCTCACATCTTGCGTGCGACTATTTCGCGTACGTTTCGTCTCGCGAGTTGCGAGAAGCGAGGCTGAGCGCCTACGAGTCGTTCGCTAGTAATTATGGTGTGCGAGCTTGCTAAAATAAGCGACACATTCGTTACACATGCACTTCTTACACGCGATAGTTCTCAAAAATCAGCAATGCAGTATCGGTTGTAGTCATAAGCGATAGGACTATATCCTTGGGACTATAAGCGATACCACAAATCAACATTCGCGAGAAATTTTCTCAGCAGCGATGCGAGAATTCGATATCGCTGGTATGTTATAATTAATGCCGTGTAATATAGTGCCGATGATTGAGTAAACCGGCGATTGTTCTTATAAATTCGCACGATTAATGCCGCGGGAATTCCACGAAAATCATTCGGACGAGGCTGCATCGAACTAACAGGTCACACACGTAGAAACGAAAATAGACAAGCCGCGTTCACGTTGAGAGAAAAATAATTGATATACCAAAGATAATGTTCACCAATACGAGAAGTTTCGTTTACCAGCCGACGCTGACGCTTTTGAAATCAGTATTGATGCACAAGTGTTTGAGTATCTGATTTGAGCAAATAAACCGTTTAGTAAGATCTAAAGAAACGAATAAGAGTATTTGTTTTGTGCTCAAAATAATATATTCTCTACTCGGCTTTCTTTGAGGAAAAAGAAAAGTCATTTCAATAAAATATTCAAGTATGCAATTATTATCAACATTCTTATTACATTAAGAATTTACAATTGTTCGTTGGATTCGATGATTGCTCAAAAGATGAATCGTTTCACAGGCACAAAATCAGACAATTACCTGAAAAATGGTAGAAAATGATGGATAATGAACAGATACTTTGAGCTCTCTGTACACTTTCATTATTAATAAAAGAAAAATGGCTAAAATTCCGACGAACTTTCGTACAAGCTCTTGACATTATTCTGCAGTAACACTTTTTCGAATAGAGTCTCTTTGACAAGAAAGTTTAATACATGGTTTTTAGAAATAATAGTGTAATTATTTTGCGAGAAAATTGCTGCTTAACAAGTGGATAATCCGGAAAATAAGGAATTTTTGTTTCAAAAAAAGGCTAGATGATGAATCAGGTGGAAAAGAGTGATTTTATCAATAAAAGATATAATTACTAATTATTCTGTTATAAATACAAATACAATAAAAATTCTCCAAATAAAAAATCGTGTGTTTCCTTTAATTCAATGTCAATAGCAGAAAAAATAGTTTATGGTTGTAATCTCTGATTTCTTGAATTCTTCAATTTTCAAGTATCTATATGAAAAAAAAAGTCTATGTCGCAGCTAATTATAATATGATAATGTATTTGTTGCTGTAACTACAAATTTGCTGCTGTAACAAAAATTTTTACTACTGTTGCTATGTCAGTTTCATAATTAAATATATGCCTACTGGTAGCTATTCTTTTAGACATCCATTTGTTAAGAGAGATTCAGCTATCGCATCCGAATTCTTGCTACTGCAGCTAATTATTTTTTTCCGTATACCAGTAACGTTCTCTTAATCATTTTAGACTACAACGTAAGACTTATTGTTTTCCCTATTCTCCCCTCGCATTTATGCTGTCTTTTTGAACTGTAAGAGTAAACCTTGAAATATGCCCTTGCTGTCGGCAAAATTGTCGGTTTCGTACATATGTGGACTATCCTTGAAATAAGTGCCGAATCCAAGTTCGAGATAAGTAGCAATCGTCCGGTGAGCAGCGAACGCGAATAAACATGCAATTGGTGTGTGAAATGAATAGTTGTGCGATGTTTCATTTCCGTAATATCGACCTACGTGCATGAGAGTGGGCTATAGTCCTCGTTTAGGTAAGCAGAAGGTCGTTTTCGTCATGGAGTCTATAATTAAGCGCCGATTATTCCGCCATAAATAAGGATGTGCAAAGTGCCGCGAGGAAAGGCACATTTCTGTGCCCCGATTAACGATGAGGCTGGCTACCAACATGATTCCCGACATACGAATCCCCTTTCAGAATAGTTCTCGCACACCGAAAGGCCAGTGCGACAGAGTCGAACGAGTGGAACTGGATTTTGCTTAATACCTTTCACGTATCTAATCACATCATAAATATGCAATATGGTTGGCGCCGCTATTCCTGTCAAGAGGCACAAAAGTGATTCGAACAAACTGATATTACGTCAGTATTTGACGCACATTATGTCAAGTTTTGTTTTTTCATCACCATGTATTAACTTATGACAGCTATACGAATATGCAAAACTTTATACAAAGTCTATCAATAGATACAGATTTTACATACAGCTTTTTATATGCACTACAAGTGTTACACATAACGAATTATAATGAAGAAACAAATGTTCCGTTTGTTAAACCCGATACGTTGAATTTTGATTTCATGCAGATAAAACAAGTCTAGCACTTCAGGCAAACAAGTGTGCATATGTATACACATACAATTACAACGGACTAAGAGGAGAAGGAGATACGAGGACGCGCGGCAAAGAACTGGTTTTACTAACCACATAGCATACTGCATTTTTTTACGTCGACTAAAATCTTTTTATTACGGAACGTTTAATCAGTCTACGCCATATGTGCGGCTGTTATAAGGACATTAGGATTAGCGAGATCCAAAATTTTATACCGCCGTCTCAAAACAATTTAACCATTGTATTCTTTATTTTCTTTTTTTAATCCCTCTACTCAACGTATCATTCAGGTTCCGAAATACGTTGATTAGCAAAGTTAGTCGGCTAAGCAATGAAATAAAGGTACAACAAGAAACAACAACAGCGAGTTATTGTGATTGTTTTAGTGAATTTAGTGAATAGTACAGTTTGTTATCGCTAAAATAATGGCAATATAAAATAGCAATAACGTAAAAGATGTCGCTTATATTTTATGATACTAATCGATATATGCAACGATATGTCGATAGATATAATGACAGATACTTCTCGAATTAGCAATAACTCATACTTTTGTTTCTGTCGCTTCAAAACTCACGACTGTTGAGCTTGATCTACAATACGCTCTTTGTAGTTGCCGTTCTGTTTCTTGTCTTCTGTCTTTTTCTGGCTTAAAGCTTAAGGTGTGAGTCAGAAAGAGATAAAGAAACAGAAACAAGAAGCAAATAACACATTGTAGATCAAGCTTTGCCGCGCCTGCGATCGGTAGATGTTCGGCGTGCCGCGCCAAGAGAAAAGGTTACCACCGTGGCGCGCAGTTTGCGTATAACCGCGGGAAAAGTGTGAATCACT